ATGAGGAGCAGTTTGATCCTCCAAAGCACATTCGAGAGCACGCCCACTGCAGCTCCTGGAGCGATTACAGCGATTTGTACGAACGGTCGATCAAGGACCCGGTCGGTTTCTGGTCAGAGTTGGCACAACAGCTGTACCTGGAGAAGCCATGGGATGAGGGTCGCTTCCTGGAATACAACTTCGACATCCGCAAAGGTCCGGTGTTCGTGCGTTGGATGAGCGGTGCTTTGTCCAACGTCTGCTACAACGTTTTGGACCGACACGTGAAAAACGGTTACGGTGACAAGGTGGCTTTCTACTGGTAATGTTGGCTAAATGTTTTTTATCATGTTTTATCGCATGCACTTGTGTGTCGTTCATCATCATCTAAGCTCTGCCCCGAACTGTGAGGTTTAAGCTTATAATATCCGTGTACGGTGGCGCGAGTGAATCATGATCAAAGGATGCTCCTAAGCAACTATGGCTCTTCAAGTCAAGCTGAGTAACGTCTATTCATGTTCATTATTCGAGCCGTTCTTAAGTACAACGGAGATAACCATGGTTTTTCACCATCATTTCGTACATGATAGACGGCACATGATGAGTTGTGTATATTTCCACTAAGCTTATGGTATACTTTGACCGATTAACAGATCAGTGCCTACGGTCACCTGCTATTTTTTTAACAGATTGCAGCCATATAAGACACTGTCCTGCATCCTGACTAAATCATACATGTTTCAGGGCGAAGGACGTTCTTGAAAATGAAGGCAGGGAAAGCTGTGTATCTGTCATTATTAGAACCTATCGGAACCTTATTCTTTTAAGCTATTGTCGTCCATAGTGACGTCGCAAACCTAACCGAAGTTTCATTTTTTCAGTAATTTTTCTGGGGTTCAGTGATCAAGTAGAGATAAAACTGTTGTCATTTAACTAATTTTCTTCAGCTGTTTCAATGTACTTGTTCAATATACTTCTGGTTTAATGTATAGGAGTGATAACGACTATACATAGAGGGGTGGAGGGCGGGAATAGATCTAAGGACGATATGACCTTTAGGTCATAGAGTCTAACCAAGCATAGGGGAGTAGTATCACTACGATCCCTACTGCCCAAGTCACCGAAGGGGAGAGCCTAATAGGGGAAACAACCTTTCCCCACATGGGCTAGATCATGAGTACGTAGTACGATAGGATCCTTATAGAGAGACAGGTGATGATACCGTCAACATTTTCACTTTGAGAGAAGAACATAGGGATGATGAATCATACTTGGCTACCTAGTAGACTGATATGATGTAGTCATACCCTATACAGGTAGGTCAATGACCAAGACTATGTTGCCCCGACATAGGACGGTCATAGTGTTAACGGTAACCTACCCAACCCTTCCTGCCCAGACCGAGGTCTGTGGACTGGAGTGATAGTGCAACTACAAGGTTGCTCAGTCTCTTATGACAGAGTATTAGAGGAGTCTGTAAGAGACCTAGGAGATGATTAGGGAAGGGGTACCTGTTCAATAGTTTCAATTGAAATACGATATTCGCCGCAGTTGCCAACTAGTCCTTGTATAAATGTCAGAAACCGTATAAAAATTCTGACATCACTTGTCACTGAAGTTTCGTTGAGTGACAATGACAACAACAGTGGTTTTAACACTTTAGTGAAGCGAGCTGCTGATAAAACATCCTTATTGTCACCATCATCGTCATCACCCCCCCCCATCTGTTATTTTATGTAGGTTCATATTCAGAGAAGCTTTTTCTGCTAATTAGAAGCAGCCCTTTCAACCCAGATTACCAGAGTTTCGATAGTTGGCCTTCTCATGGTTGACAGTGGTCATTGAGGTTTAAGAGTGCACACACTTCCGACTTTCGCCCTGCCTTACTATCCAGTACGTTGGTTGTTGCCCGCTCGCCACAGTATGGACGCTGATGATTTCTGTTGGTTGATGTGTCTATTATACATCATGTCTTAGTGATGAGCGCATACCTCCACCACGTATTGTTTCACGGTGTACTGCACAGCTCGCTTGTTCATCGATATCTATGGGTCGTTTGAGTAAATCACAGCATCATACGAAAAATGATTGTTAATAGGCAATAATAATGTTAATAATGTTACCTAGGCCCCTACGGAGGTTGTATAAAGCAGTAAGAAACCAGTTTGATGGATATTTACTTATTAAAATGTTCTTCGGGACGAATCGATAGTCGACGTAACGATATGATAATCATGTAGTCGATACTTCACTTTGTATGATTTTTTGCGCTGCTGTTTGAAGTTGTCAAACAACAAACAGAGACACCAACAGAGGCTAACAGCCACAAGGACATGAATAATACTAGAGATACGGTTCGAAGCATCGATTCGAGGTTTATCTGTTGATAAATTATTGCGCGTTATTTTGCTGAATGCAGTAAGATCGTAAAGGTTCTTATTTGGGAAACTGCCCTTGGGCTTGAAATGGAAAGTATCCGATGGGTGTGTGGTCTGACTGCTAGCCTATGGGTGCAGAATATTGACCTTATTGACCTAAGCCTATAAGCTATTCATAAACTGCAGACTACGCAACGCATGGAAACGTATGTTGGGAATGACAAGAAAACATAGTAAATCGAATTTATGCATAAGAACATAAACTAAAGTCTGCAATGTCATTTCTCGAATGAAAAAATTAGAGTAGCAGTGCGCAGGGCACGTTGCAGGAAAAACGGGGAGTCAGTGGACCAGAGAAACGTTATGCTGGGTTCCAAGAGAAAGTGAACGGCTTGTAGGAACCCTTCCACAATAATGACAAGATGGCTGAAGAAGTTCATTTGATCAAGATGGATATGAATCGTAGAAAACATTTATGACGAAGTCTCGGAGAGATTTTCATCCAGCAATGGATCGAAAATTATCCATCACTCCACCGATATGTTTAAGCTCTGAGATGGATTATCCTCTCGGTAGTGCAAACAGTAATTTATACTAGGAAAACATCTTGATTGTGAATGATGTGAATCGTCCGGCGTGCATGTACAGTGTTGGGTTAAACAAATAGTTGGAGGGTTTGGCATGGCACCTTCCCGGTCAGGAGACCGCATTGCACCTGAGGGTTCATCAACCACTTGCAGCGTGTACGACCTCTCCGTCTAATCAAGGCAGCGCTTATAACTGATCTGACCATTCGTTTACGGTATTAGCTTTCGTCGAAGTTATGTAACTGTTATTCAACCTCATTTTCGTTGTGATAAGAGAATCTTCAATGCACTCGAGTCGCCAAGCTCTTGCATAAAAAACACTCAGAAGATCTCAGATCCCGATGTTTGAATTTTTTTGACAAAATGCCCGAAGTAAGGGCGGAAACTCGGCCAAAATTTTTCTCATGGGAATCGTTCCACACATGTTGTAAAATTATGCAGAACTTTTGAGTATTTCTTGGATGCATACCTGCTAGTGATAAACCATATGACGTTCGCCGAAGCATCAAACAACGTCTGATACAAATCTGAGGCACCGTTTCAAACAGGTTAAATGTCTCTTGTGTGGGCAGCTGCACAGTTCATGGTTTGCTAGCTCAGAGGACAATGCGAAAACAAGGAGAGAAAAGTCATCTCTCTCTGCTGCCAGAAACATTTTAATAGCGTCGTTATTATAATAATAAATATCTTGCCATTTTGCTAATTTTTCGTTTATCTTATTCGATTATTTGCAGTCGGTTATGTCATTTTATCTAATCATATATGCTAAAATTATGTTCTTTTGGAATTTAGGGAAGGAAATGACCCGAATGATTCACAGCAAAGGACGTATCAAGAATTGTTGGATGACGTATGCCGATTCGCCAACGTTCTGAAAAGCAAAAGTATAATTTGTTTTATTCAGAATTTTTAGCTGGAGTAAAGTGCTTTTAAAAGCTTTCAGTCATTGCAGGTTCGCGGTCCATCAGTGAATCAATCGACTGTTTATTAGCTTTTGCAACAATATTATTATCAGCAGAATCCATGATCTTCAGATACATAAGCAGACTACGAAGGAACGCTTATGGCTTGATGCTAAAATTATTTAAAATAAATTGTTTCCGTCCTTCCGGGTCACTAAGGGCCCTGAAAAAAATGGTATGGTTGAAACGGCGATAAAATTCAATCATAATCGGAATCACATTAAAAGTACTCGTAGTTTTTTTGTGCAAGAGCGTTCGGTTCTGGTGCTTCGCATGTTTTGGGCGGCCACTGTCACACAGGTAGCGATTGTCCACCCGTACAAAGGCTCTGACGACATTTTCGACAACTGGCCAATAAGTTCTGCCCACGCAATTTTACTGGTACGAGAGATGAATAAAGGGGAACATTTTAAATTGGTGAAATTCTTCTTCTGTAAAGCGGCAAAATGATTGGACCAGTGTAGATTATGGTATGAGATAGATGACCAACATCACTCAAGGGAAGAATTTTTAACCTCAATAATTTGAGCAAATAAAATTATCATTTCCATGCCCTCGAGATTAGTTGATAAATATAATTATCGCAGTTATGGTTCCTGTTAAGAATAATTCTCAAGTTTCGCACGGTGCCGATGTCGGAAATAGGCATATTCTCTCGTTATTGGGTGTTCAGCCGTAAGAAGTAGTTTCGCTAATCTTATGGTGGTTATTGTCAATGACTTTTTTCTTGCGTTAATGATCAAACCATAGTTTCTGATCCAGCTATCTGTTTCTTCCATAGCGTCTTTTAAATCAGTGGTTAATCTTGTTTAATAATATAAATCCTGTTAATTTCATGATTTGAAGCCAAAAGCAATTTAAAGGTGTATTAAGGAGTGCATGCTGTTCTCCAGTTTATCTTTTAAAGGATCAATACGAAATTTCGAACTGAAGTTTGCTCTGACATATTGATGGCAGCTATCATGGAGCTGATGAAGTAGCATGATTAGTTCACCAATGTTAAAGGGAACATTTTGGCAAAATAATGGGTATACGGTAGAAATAAACATTGAGTTAAAGTATTTTTTGGAACATGTTATTGCTACGCATTTGAATTCAATAGCTGAAACTTGCGCGGCTGGCGGCGGACCATGGCTACTGTCCCATGATCCAAAAAAAGGCTGTTTTCAGAGAGTGATGAATTGATCAAATATAGAATAAAATGTTTTTCAGTATTAGAGTAGGTTAAACTCTTCCCATGCCATAAGACAAAAACTTATGCTAATAACCACCGTTCGCTGTCGAATTATCATTTGCCTTTTATTGAATCTCTTGTCGTCATTACTTCTCTTTTAGTCACGAAGAATTTTTTAATAAAAACTATCTTTCTAGATGTGAAGAAAGGTGATCGAGTTGCGATCTACCTGCCCGTAATTCTGCAACTTCCCGTGGTGATGCTCGCCTGTGCTCGTCTGGGTGTTATTCATTTAGTGGTGGTATGTCGTTTTGCTCAGTTTCCTGAATGCTTAAATTATGAGACTGCTAAAGTATACTTTTAAAATTTTGTTTTTGACATAGTTATAGTGAATGTGCTTAGAGAACTATTAACGATGAGCCATTGGATCGGGTCATGACTATGTCAATCTTCATCCTGATTACAATCGTTTTTCTTCGTCCTCGCAGTCATCATTCTTGCAAACGAGCTTGTGTTGTTTTACATAGTACGGCTTCTGTACGGCTACGGTGTGAGCGGCTTTAGTGTGTGAGTATGGCTTTAGAGAGTGGCTTCTGCGTTTCTCGGTATTGTGCATGTGAAAGGGGTATTTGTGTACTCTTTCCACTCCGTTGATGTAGAGAATAGATGACTATCAGTGATTTTTGACTATTGAATGGAGTTCATTTCTGCAGCCTGTGAAATTCAAAAGAAAATGATCATCTCCTGACTCTTTAAGGTCATACACGACACATTATTCCCCTCCCTTTTCTCAGATGGCTTGCTCAAGGTGCTCAAGAAACTTATGAACCTAAAACTCACACCTGTTGAATCGTGAACAATTTTACTTCAGAATTCAAAATTATAATCCGCATTATCAAAGTAGAGTACTGAGTAGTTCTTTATGAGTTTGCTCTGTACTGATGTACTAAATAAAATCTCCTTTATAAATTTACCTACGGTTTTCGGTGTTAACACCGGGCTCATCTTTGGGTGTGAACTGTCAAATTGTACAGGATAAATCTGTTAAGCATTGTCTCGATAAAGAATTATTCATCAGCTTAAAGAAATATAGCAATATTTTTAGACATTTGAGTTTCTTGACAGAATGCAAGGTTGCATCTCTATGCGTCTGACGAAAAGGCTCGATGTCTAACCGAAGGTAGGATCCTGACAAAAGCCGCTATGAAGAATAATGAAACTTCGTCTGTCAGTTGTTTAATCAAATCAAAACTATTTCTAAACTGTTTTCCAACGTTATGATCGATTCTGTATCGGAAGGGAGGAGAACTTTCCAATGAGTGCAGAATTTTTACTTTTTTTGCAACTGCACACAATTTGTCCGTCCGCAACGTGAAATCCAGTTTTAACGCAGTTCTGAACAACTTTTGATGAACAACGTATGCGTTATTCAAAACGCCAATGTGTTGTGAGAACGTACGCTTGATTTTTGGCAGAATTATTGATAAATACGTTTTAATTCATTTATTATTTTATCTAAAATATTTCTAAACATGACATTTTATAAGTCATAGTATGATAACACATTGAAATTTGAAAACGGCCTATCATAATCTGTTACGTCACTCAAACTCACTTAGTTTTCGACTCTGTTAAATTTCCATGACCGCTTCTCCTTGGGGGTCGCGAGAGGATAGACACATCAGACAGTGCTTCCAGCGTTTCAGAACCTGTGCCGGCGTTTGGCTGCAAAACACCACCGGATTCGAGAGCAGAGTCTTTCATTGCACTTGCCCGAGTTTAATCTTGCCAGTTCCCTAGGTCTTCTACCAGTCGGCTGGACAAGAAATAATTGCTTCCCTTTCCTTGTTGGAAGCATTCGCAAAACATGCCAAGACCTTCGCAGCTGTGACTTTTCAGTCTGAAGAAGCAGCGGTTGTACATTAAAGTTCTCTCGAACCTCTGTTCTCAGAAGTATGTCGAGACGCGCGTGGTAAGCGATTCATCTCAGAAAGCGCACTTCAACCCCTTGTACCCAGGATCAAAGTTCTGAAATCATTTTCCACTAAGCTCAGAGTATTCAAGTCTGTCTTCATTATGATACCATCATAAGGTCATGAGTCACGACTCATGACCGTATGATGGTATCATAATGAAGATAGACTTAAATACTCTGAGCTTAGTCTTCAAACTCAGCTCTGCTTTAGTCATAATGGTTCAGGATGGTTCACAACAGCGTCACTGGCTATTCTAACCAGCCTTTTGAACTCTTCCTCGCATTTTCCATCACCGGTAAACACGACCCATAGGTAAATGGACTTCTCCACCTGCTCCACTGCCTCTTCATTTGTCCGAAAACGTCAGGAGACGAGAAAGCACTAGGCTTTTCTTTTTAGATGCGTTCACACGCACACCGGCCACGTCGAACTCAGCTGCAAATCTTTCCAAATAGAGCTGAAGATCGGTTTCAGAAGACGTCAGTTAAACAAGGTCGTCTGAAAACCGCAACCTCGTCTCAACGTCTCCTACGTTGATACACTCATCGCTTTGGCTACGTCTGACTATTCTATTCATGTACAGCACCAACAGGAGAGGGTACAAAACGCATACATGGCAGAAACCAGTGCCAACATCGAAAGGTCTCTACTTAAAGTCATTTATTCTGACGCAGCACCTGTTATCAGCATACAGTAATTGAATGGCGCGTAACTACTGGTCATCGATCACGCATGTTCGCGGGCATGTCCATAAACTGTTGCGCAGGATCCGGTCATAGGCTTTCTCTAGGTCCACAGAACTTGTATACCTGGATGGGCGAACTCCCACGTTTTCTCAACAATCTGGTGTAGGGCAAAAGACAGGCTAGCGGTGCTTCGGGTTGACCTGAAGCCACAACGCTTCTCTTGTTTCTTAGAGTAAGTTATTCCGCGACACTTCGTTCGTAGCACCGTTGCGCAGGCTTTTCCCTTGAGCTTCAGTATGACAATTCATCGACAATTGGATCACTTGCTGTTGTCGCCCTTCTTGAATGGTGGTATTACAACTCCCGTTATCTAATCCACTGATAATTTTCCAGTAACTTTTCTAGCTTGACAGACATGTTAGTCATAATATGCTTTGTTCGCCTATTGCTTTGACCATTTTAGGGCGGATTTCATCAATTCCAGCAGCCTTTCCACTTTTCAGGCTTTTCACAGACTTTATCAAAAACGGTGATATCCTTTCCTTGCGGTTGTTAGGGATTAAGGAGTTTCTCTCAGTGCTCTCTCCATTGCTGAAGAATGTCGTCATCGTGGGCGAAAGAGTGCCAGACCTGTCCTTCAAGACTTTCAGATAGTCCTTCTTTTTCTCTTCGGAAGTGGAGGATGGTCTGCCGGAGTACTATCCTTACCGTCTCGAAATTGAACCGAACTTCTTCCAGGAATGAGCTTTGGCTTTTGCTGCCGCCTCGCGCCCTTCTACTTTCGCTCGCATGCAAGTTAAAGGCTCTTCGTTTTGAAGCCATTTCTTGAATGCAGCCTTATCTTTAAAACTACCAGTTGTACTTCTCGTGTCCACCAGTAAGTTCTTTTCTGTTCTCCAGGCGGCAGGCCAACCCGTTTCAATCCGCAGCATTCGGCAACATGGACCTATGTTAAAGAAACTCATTCGGTTTCCACATCACTGGGAGCTGTTCAAACGGTCATGTGATCTTGTTTGCAAGTTTCGCTCTCGTATCCGCCGAAGATAATGTTTCCCATTTGATTCTTTGTTTCTGCCATCAGATCGTCACATGGTACTCCTCTCTCATAGCGTAGCATGCCAACAACAAAGTGATGATGAGTTGACAGCTCTGCGCCTCTTTGACGTGAGGATCCATTACATAACGTCTTATGTAAGACAATACAATTATCAAATCGATCGTCGATGTCTGTGTACAAGCTTCCCTGTACCACTTGTGCTGATGCACGCTCCGATGCCCAAAAAAGGTGCTCCTAATGGACAGTCCGTAGTTTGCACAAAGCCACAGCATTTTCATGCCGTTATTGTTGAGGTCGCTAGAGCCGTTTTTTTCACACCTTTAAAAGGTTCCACTTCGTTTCCACATCAGTGGACATCGCAAGGATGTCAACAAACCGTCGTGCGATGTTTTTTGCAAATTTCTCGTATCCATCGAAGATAATGCTTCTCATTTCTTTGGTTTTTTCGGCCACCAGAATGTCGCATGGCACCCCATTTCTCACAACGTACATGCCAACAACAAGGTGATGATCAGCTGACAGCTCTGCGCCTCTGTTAACGTGAATATCCGTTACAGAGCGTCGTATGTCACACGATATGATTATCAAATCGATCATCGACTTTTGCGCAAAAGCTTACCTGTACCAGGTACAGCGGAGCATGCTCGAAGAAGGTATTCATAAGAGATATTTCTTTCTTTGCGTGAAACTGCTACAGCTGCATGCCGTTATTGACGAAGTCACTAGGGCCGGTTTTTCCAATCACGCCGTTCCACTTTTCAGTGTCTACTCTGATATGCGCATTAAAATCGCCCAGTAAATGAGGGGCTCCATAGTCGATACTTTGTAGGGAGCACACTCCACTTCCTCAAAGAAGGGCTCATATTCTCTCTGCAAATTGGGCGCATAGACCTGTACAAAGTCAACGCTTTAGCCTGTTGTAGCTTCATTCGGAGGATTACCACCCTTCCGCTGACAAGCTTCCAGTCACTGATTTTGTCTGCGAGGTTGGGTTGTACCAGAACACCAACACCGGCCTGAGTGCGCGACTTGATGTCAGCGTCTGAGAGAATAGTTCCCACCCATTTAGAATTTCAGAATCTTGGAGCTTCGTTAACGAGAGTTCAACCATGTCGAGTTGGTACCTTGCGGCCTCATCAGACACCTCGTGCTCTTTCCGTCTGAGTGAGAATATGTTTTAGTTTCTGCCTGTATGCTCCAACTGTCGGTGTCTTTCCGGTGGAGCCTTTTCTGACGTGCTGTAGTGACATCGCATTGTCTGCCTTCTTCGTTTAGGGCAGGTAGCGACTCCGTTGCTGATTGGTGTCTTTGCCATCGTTTCGTTAATCTTCGTCCGGTTGCCCCGAGGCGGAGAGTAGGTTCTGATTGCCAGTTACTCACGGTTCTTGGTAACTCAGGCGGCGAGCACATCGATATAATGACAGCAATACCATGAAGTTTAGGCATCTAAGTTTTACGTGGACCTCCCCACTTTCTCTAACCCTCCTCCTGTCTCATTCGGATTTGGGACCAGCAAAGGCGAAGTTTATTTGTATTTGTGTAATATGACCATGTTGACGATCCTGATGTATGGCGTGGAAACGCGTCAAAGATTGAATGAAGTTACATTATCCTTTTTAGATTGTTGCTTTGAACCAAGTAGCAAGGGCGAAGATTATTAATTACAATGAATTATTTTAGCATTATTTTAGTTTTTTTTTCAGTTTGGTGGATATTCGGCTGCCGCTTTGGCACAGCGTATTACAGACGCAAATGCGGAAGTCCTGGTAACAGCGGACGGTGCTTGGCGCGGCTCCAAACTCATAAACTTGAAAAAAATCGCTGACCATGCGTTAGTGATTTGTCGTAAACAGTACGTTTAATTAATTATCAAATGTGATCAGAGGTCACGTGTTTATTTAATACTGTTTTGGATTTTTCTCGATTGTTGTATATTGCATTTAGTTCATTATTGTTGCTGCCATTACCGTGGAGGCTAAGAATATGTCTGCCACTGCCAGCAAAACTGC